TCCCCCCCCCCCCCCTCTAACGATCTGCGAAAAGGATGTGCATGGCCATTAAAAAAAAAAAATATATCACAAAGGCACCAGGTCAGTCAGCTGGCCCCCAGCTTCACACTTATTTTCAACAGGTCACTTAGCTGTGCGAAGTCCCCTCCTGCTTCAAATGCTCCGCCATCATCCCAATCCCCAAGAAAACCTCCGTTATTGGACTGAATGATTACAGACTTATTGCCCTGACATCTGTAGTTATGAAGAGAGAAACTCAGGGCAGTCTAGGCCTATAGCAGTATAACTCAGGGAAGGCCCAGGGTCACTTGATTCAGTCCCAACTATAAACTTTATCAAAAAGGAGTCTTAAGTCTACTCTTAAAGGTAGAGAGGGTGTCTTCCTCCTGAACTGAGACTGGGATTTGGTTCCATAGGAGAGGAGCTTGATAGCTAAAGACTCTGCCTCCCATTCTACTTCTGTGGATTCTAGAAGTCACAAGTAGACCTGCACTCTGAGAGCAAAGTGCTCTGCTAGGATGATAAGGCTCTATGAGGTCTTTAAGATATGATGGAGCCTTGTCATTAAGGGCTTCGTATGTTAGGAGAAGAATTTTAAATTCTATTCTGGATTTTACAGGGAGTCAGTGGAGAGAAGCTAATATGGGAGAGATATGATCTCTCTTCCTAGTTCCTGTCAGTACTCTGGCTGCAGCATTTTGGATTAACTGGAGGCTTTTTAGGGAACTATTGGGACGTCCTGCTAGTAAAGAGTTACAGTAGTCCAGCCTGGAAGTAACAAATGCATGGACCAGTTTTTCAGCATCGCTTTGGGAGCGAATATTCCAGATTTTTGCAATACTGCAGAGGTGAAAGAAGGCAGTTCTAGAGACTTGGTTTATGTGCAATTTAAAGGACATATCCTGGTCAAAAATGACTCCAAAGTTCCTCACAGCAGTATTGAAGGCCAGAGCTACAGTATGTCATCTAGAGCAGTTTCCCAACCTTTTTCAGCCATGGCACATTCTGTATTTAACATTAGAAAAATCACAAGGCACACCACCAAACAAAAATGTCACAAAAAGTATATTTATTGAAATATAATAAAAATCTAGTCTCAATTTACTTAGTGTGAAACCTGGGCGTGTTTATTTGAACACAAAGCTGATATTCTTGCAGGAATTGAAGAATGACGCACACGAAGATCTTCATCCATAGCTCTGAGTCTGTTTTTTTGGCCTTTATAGCGGTCGTGCTTCAAAAGCCCACCTTGCATAAATAGGTTGTGGAGAAAGAAGAGCAGAACTGAAATAGCTTTGTTTGCCATAATGGGGAACTCTTTGGCAGCAGTCAGCCAAAAACTGTCCAAAGGTAGATCAGCAAAGCTCAGTTTTAGACCATGATTTTGTCTCAGTTCAGTTATTTCTTCCTGCTCCTGCAAAGTCATGTCCTTTACAACTACAGTTGAGCTGTGTGGGTTCCTAACCCAAGGCAATCAGTGGAAAGTGAAGGGAAATAACCTGACAATTTCTGCTCAAGACTTTGCAGATGTTTACAGCACTGTTGACACCCTACCATTTCTGGGTGTGTGGGAACATGTTAAGGTTGGCACTTTCCACATATTGTTTCTAGAGTTGCACCTTTGAACAAAATCCCTTTATTTCATCTGTACTTGTGAACAGGTTTTCATTTCGGCCTTGCATTTGTGTGTTCAGGTCATTCAGATGTTGAAATACAGTGGTGTGAAAAAGTGTTTGCCCCCTTACTGATTTCTTATCTTTTTGCATGTTTGTCACACTGTAATGTTTCAGATCGTCAAACAAATTTATATATTAGTCAAAGATAACACAAGTAAACACATCATGCAGTTTTTAAATGAAGGTTTTTATTATTAAGGGAAAACAAAATCCAAAACTACAAAGCCCTGTGTGAATAAGTGTTTGCCCCCTAAACCTAATAACTGGTTGGGCCACCCTTAGCAGCAACAACTGCAATCAAGCGTTTTCGATAACTTGCCATGAGTCTGCCACAGCGCTGTGGAGGAATTTTGGCCCACTCATCTTGGCAGAATTGTTGTAAGTCAGCCACATTGGAAGGTTTTCGGGCATGAACTGCCTTTTTAAGGTCATGCCACAGCATCTCAATTGGATTCAGGTCAGGACTTTGACTAGGCCACTCCAAAGTCTTCATTTTGTTTTTCTTCAGCCATTCAGAAGTGGACTTGCTGGTGTGCTTTGGATCATTGTCCTGCTGCAGAACCCAAGTTCGCTTCAGCTTGAGGTCACAAACGGATGGCCGGACATTCTCCTTCAGGATATTTTGGTACACAGCAGAATTCATGGTTCCACTTATCACAGCATGTCTTCCAGGGCCTGAAGCAGCAAAACAGCCCCAGACCATCACACTACCACCACCATATTTTACTGTTGGTATGATGTTCTTTTTCTGAAATGCGGTGTTACATATACGCCACACATAATGGGACACACACCTTCCAAAAAGTTCAACTTTTGTCTCGTCTGTCCACAGAGTATTATCCCAAAAGTCTTGGGGATCATCAAGATGTTTTCTGGCAAAACTGAGACGAGCCTTTATGTTCTTTTTGCTCAGCAGTGGTTTTCGTCTTGGAACTCTGCCATGCAAACCATTTTTGCCCAGTCTCTTTCTTATGGTGGAGTCATGAACACTCACCTTAACTGAGGCAAGTGAGGCCTGCAGTTCTTTGG